CCTCACAGATGACCTGAGTGCTGCAGTTCAGTCCTCTGCAGGTGATAAATGTCTGCACCGCACCGCTGCACACTGGGTGCTTTTAGAGATGATTATTTATAATGCTGCTGCTGCAACAACAGACAAGATGCTTGGAAAAGTGTCACAGAAGAAGATGATAAAGGATGCCCCTTCTCTTTCACCTTGTCACTTCCAGGTATTCATCAGCTTTAACATAAGCTTGAACATTATGATTTTACGTCTGCAAGATTTCATTCACGTTTGCAGAAAGATATAAACCATATGACCAACTTTATGAAAACTGTCTAATGCTGTTTTTGTTCCAATACTTATGTTTACTTTTAATATCAATACATAATACAGCCTGGTACTTACCCAGTACATAACAACAAGTACATTTTCCATAAGTACAGGTTCACAAATCACTTCCTAATACAGCCTGATACCTGTAACATAAGTTATTTACTCCATAAGTAATCATGTAAGAATCAAGTATGTACCCAATGTACTAGATAGATATGTGGTAGGTAAATACCAGGTACCCACCAGCTACATTTCACTGTAGGTTAGTACCAGGTTCATAGTAGGGAAGTACCAGGTATATACCCTGTGTACAGGGTAGTTAGTCATGTAATACTACAATCTGTTCCCAATTAGTACCAGTTATGCATCAAGTACATACCAAGTGACAAATAAAAACTAGATACCATGTATCTAAAACATAGAATGCTAATACCAGTGATGTATGCAGTAAAGTACCAAGTGTGTACCCTGTAGATACCAGGCACATATTCGGTAAGTACCAGGTACTATACCTTGTAAGCACAGATGAATAAGTCACTAATTAATACAGCCTGATCCCTATACATAACCATGTAAGTTGTTATTTTTTAGATAATATCCAACTTAGTATCCAGGTATCATTAAATCTAGAAATACTTCATGTACTGCAGCAATGTAGCTTTCAGGGTGTCACTTAAAATTTTTATTTTTGCTTGTTTGTTTAAATCAAAAAAATAGTTTGATAAAACCTAACATCCATTCAGTTTTACAGTTTCCCTTTACCCACTCTGACATCAAGGCTTAGTTTTGTCTCAGAACTGATCCAAACTGTTGTGGTTCCTTATTGGGCCACTCCCTGTGACCTAGTTCAGTGGTTTGGGCTGCACTTTTAAATTATGTTCAAAGCTGGTGGATCCCAGAGCATGGCGGAAGTGGTGCTTTATAAATAATCCCATCAGGTGGGTTCATTCTGCTGGTCGCACGCGGAATGGCGTCTGCATAAATCTAGAGTAGAGCTCCACATTAATAAAGCAAAAAGAACAGACGGCTGTGAGACTCCGCAGAGGTTTCTGGTTGCTGTTTACGAACTAATCGACTCTGTGATGTTAATGACCTCACATCTGCTCGACGAACGTTCAGCGTAATGCACTTGAATTGTGATTCACATAAGGAAACAAACACGACACCATAACAGAAGGACACATTTTGAACTGTTCAACATTATTGTTATCACAAACACATTTCACCAGACACTGTAAATAACGGTTATTAGACTGAGTAAACCCAGTCAGCTTATGTCAACTGGAGTGCATGATTAATGAGTGACAACAGGTGTGCTGATTAAATACGTAAAAACAATTATTTGTTTGCTCGAAATTATAGTAAAGGTGTGTCTCAGTCTAACCTTTCCTTAATAAATGCACTTTGACGGTCAAATCAGCTGCATTTAAAAACTCAATACGCGGAAGCGGGAGTGCGCAGACGGATCATGCACTGTACATTTCTTCGAAATTTAACAAGATAACCACCTAAAAACAATTATTTGTTTGTCCTGATGCATGCTCAATAATCCAGGTAGAAAAATCTAAAAAAGTTAAATCTGGTCCTCTGGACATTAAAAAAAAAACCAAAAAAAAAACCAAAGCAAATCAACAAAAAAATGTAGAAACGTTTCGTCTCTCATCCGAGAGACTTCCTCAGTCTGAGGAGCTGTATTCAGCTCAGTCTCTTAAATAGCACCGTCTCAGGGTGGATCAACCAGTTTTGCTGCTGACAACCAAAACCAGCTGATCACATGCTCAAGACGGACCATCAGCATAACAATGGATCATTACCACACTGATGGCTGTTTACTGTTCACAGAGGGCTGAGTGATACTAGCAATCACAGCATTGTAAGAGGGGGACAGTTGAACCCGGAGGCCTCCACCCCTGTTTAATGATGGACGATTTCTTTTCACAAAGATGGCCTCCTTTACTCCTCTCTCAAACCATCGTTCCTCTCTGTCCAGGATGTGAACATCTTCATCCCTGAAAGAGTGACCGCTGGCCTGGAGATGAGTGTAGACCGCAGAGTCCTGGCCTGATGATGTTGATCTTCTGTGCTGGGCCATCCTTTTGGCCAGTGGCTGTTTTGTTTCCCCGATGTAAGACTGATCACAGCCCTCCTGACACTGAACAGCATACACAACATTGCTCTGTTTGTGCCGGGGGACTGGATCTTTGGGATGAACCAGTCTTTGCCGTAATGTATTTTGGGGTTTAAAAGCCACTGGGATGTTATGTTTAGAAAATAAACGTCTCAGTTTCTCTGATACTCCCTCAACATATGGAATGACCACTGGTCTGGGTCTAGGTTCCTCCTTTTCACCTGTTGGCTGACTGGAGTCTTGTTTGGGTTTCTTCTCTGCTTTCAGGAAGGCCCAGTTAGGATATCCACATTGCTCTAGAGCCTGTCTTGTGTGGGATTTCTCCTTCTGCCTGGCTCCTGAGTTAGTGGGGACGCTGTCTGCTCTGTGATACAGAGTCCTGATGACTCCTAACTTGTGCTCCAAAGGGTGATGGGAGTCAAACTGCAAATACTGGTCTGTGTGGGTGGGTTTGCGGTACACCTCAGTTTGCAAATGTCCTCTATCAGAGACTGAGACCTCACAGTCCAAGAAAGCCAACCTGCCATTTTTTACATCTTCTCGTGTGAACTTGATGTATTTATCCACAGAGTTGATGTGGTCAGTAAAATGTTGGACTTCCTGAGATTTGATTTTAACCCAGGTGTCGTCAACATACCTGAACCAATGACTTGGTGGTGTCCCTGAAAAGGACGTCAAGGCTCTCTTTTCTACCTCCTCCATGTACAGGTTGGCAACAATAGGAGAAACTGGAGACCCCATAGCACACCCATGTTTCTGCCTATAATATTGCTCCCCATATGTGAAGTAGGTTGACTGCAGGCACAGTTTCAAGAGTTGACACAGTTGTTCTGTAGAAAGTGTGGTCCTGCTGCTCAGAGTGGTGTCTGATGTTAATTTTAAACTGACCACCTCTACTGCATCATCAACAGGAATGCACGTAAAGAGTGATGTGACATCAAAAGAGACCATTGTTTCATCAGTCTCCATGATGACATCCCTCACCTTATCCACAAAGTCCATGGTGTTCTGTATGTGGTGGGTTTTTTTGTTGTTTTTTTTGAATGTCCAGAGGACCAGATTTAACTTTTTTAGAATTATTTGTTTGCTTGACCTTATAGCAAAGATGTGTCTCAGTTGAACTTTTACTTAGTAAATGCACTTCAGTGATCAAATTAGCTGCATTTCGCCAGGGTGGCGCAGTGAAATGAAGCTGATTTGACGGTTTCTCCAGGCATTTTTCCAGAGCTGGATGAAGGTGGCCTGTATGGCAAGTCGATAGTGTCATTAATAGCCACTTTTACCTATTACATGACACAACAGCATGCCATACAACTTGAGTGCCATCTAGCGGCTGAAAATGGTAGTGTTCAATATTTTCAATGTCAAAATGAATGAAAACGGTCATGTCTCAGCCAAAAATGGAGTTATAAATATGGAGGGAAAAACATCAATATGTCGCTTCGGTGTATAAGTCATAGGGCATGTAAATTATGCAAAAAATTTCAACTTATAGGCCGAAAAATATGGTACACAAAAATGACAATATCTTTACTAAGCTAACCTGAATAAATCAATCTATAGAGTCTAATCAGTGTTTTAGATTACACTCATGCACTGAGACACATCGAAGCCAAAGTTCAACGTCTTTCCCAGGGACACGGCCATGTGACTGCATACTGGTGGAATCAAACCTTCAACTCTGTCACTGGAGGTTGACGGTTCTAACTGTTGATCCACAGCCACCCTGTTTATAATGACTTTCACCTTCTGCCACACCAGATTTTAACTCAATAATTGTAAATTTCACTGACTTATAACTATTAATGTGCTAAGGTCATTTAGCCGTGGCAGCCATCTTGAATTGGGTTGACTTCAAATGCCAGTGAGTTAAGTCATTGGTCCACTGCAAACTTACATTATTTGAAAAGGATAGAAAAAAGTTGCATAAAGGGTGATAGATCCTGCAAAATATGTTTTTGAAGGTGGATAAATGTGTTTCTGATGTACAAAATCACCAGATAATGCAGATGGTTTGAATTCAGCTGTTTAAAACAACAACGATCATTTTGCTTTGTAAATATTTGCACGTTTCCAAAGATTATCTTTGAATCTGCAGACAGTCATTTGTGCGCCCCCTTGTTATCTTCCCTGAGAATGATGCATTATCAGGAGCCACATACAGATACCTGTGCACGTTCTCTATAAAAGGAGCTTTAACTGTGATTCCATGCTGCTTCTTTGATTGCAGCGCTATCTTTTATTCACAAATAATTATGGCAACAAAAGGAGAGTAGACAACACAACTCAGTTTATATTTCAGGTCAGGAGGGATATAGAAGCCATGCTGAGTCTTTAAAAAAATCCACTCTTAAAGCTACTACATGTGATTTCTTACATGAGAAGAGATTGTGAATGGTGGTGAATGAAGAGGAGGAGCCAGAGGAGGAGATGGAGGCAGGGAGGGAGAGGGGGGAGTCTTTCAAGCAGTCACACACTTTCTCACAAGGCACCGGGGGAGTCGTTCTCACCCCACTGGCCTGCACATCAGCTCGCGGGCCACACTGAGAGCGGATCTGTTCGCAGCAGGATGAAGATGCCTTCCCGTGTTTGGCTGCTGGCTCTGAACATGGCAGCACTGACAGGTGGGAGAAAGTTTCTCTTCATGCTCACTCATCTGGTCTGCTTTCATCTCTGTGGATCAACATGTCTGTTGTGATTGTTACAGAGAACAGGAGTGGAAAAACAGAATATTAGTTTGTCTGTTTTACCTAAAATCTTGTATCTTGATCAGTCAAAGAATGTATGCGTTTATTATCTCTTGTCTTTAATGCAAACGCATGCTTTGTTAGTCTATATTGTTGTTTTTTTTCATGTGAAACAGTTTAAATTACTTGTTACATTACTGAAATGGTTTTATTGACTAAACCAAGGCTATCAGGCTGATATCATCTCTGCTTTATAGCACTCTGACTTTTTGTCCTCATAAATTCCAAGCCTCGAGTCACATTAATTGCCTGAAAAGTCTCAGACAGCCGAAGGAGAGGATCCATAAACGTGCTCATGGTTCGGTCACTCATTATGTCACTTTCCAAGCCTTTCAGTTCAGAGAAAATGTGCTTTCAGGAACTATTTTTGGTGCATACGAGCGAACTGAGAGGAACTGCTCTGCCACTCCACCGGTAAGATCAGCCTCGAAAACAGAAACTGACAATTAAAGTGCAACTTTGACCTCACGTCATGAGTATATACAGTTAATGTTTATAGAGATGGAGATGAATCAGCAGCTTCTCCCGTTTTAATTCATGGGGAGAGACTTCTGTGTTTAGTTATGGCATGTGTTTGTGTTGCAGTACCTCCCCAGCACAGCTGTGAATACATCTGTCCAGCTGCAGGAGCTACGAGAGCGGATGCTCACCATGAATGTCTCTGCCTACATTATTCCTGGCACTGACGCTCACCTGGTACATCTGCTGTCCATCTTAATTAATCCAGCTGTGCTGTCTGTGTGAGGCTGTAACTCAGTGTTTCCCTGACAGAGTGAGTACATCGCCCCGCGCGATGCCAGGATGGCCTTCATGACTGGTTTTACAGGCTCTGCAGGTACGACCCCCCTCCTCCTCTTCATGATTCAACCCATCACTTCTGACTGCAGGGTCACTCAGTTTTCATCCCGCATCCTCACAAACCCTTCATTCATTTGTTTTCATCGCTTTCACCCTCTGCATGATTGCATCTTCTCACTCTGTCTCTGCCCTCAGAGACACGTAGCCGATAACTGAAAAGGTCTGCAACAGCGAAGAGAATCTCTGATCAGTCCTGGTTCTTTTCTCAGCTGTTCTGGGGGGGGGGGGGGGGGAATGATGAGAAGACTAAATAAGTGTGATGTTAACACCAAAGGCAACTCTATTTTAAAAGTATTTTTTCTGCTACAAAAAGAAGACAAATAACACAAATGTTTGACTCAGGGATCAAATCTATCAGATGTCTGGATGCAACAAAGGAAGGATCGTTTTGTCATTATCTACACTGATGTCCTGTTTTGATTTATTTTTCCTGTATGTTTATTTTACTATCTAATTAGTTCAGCACACTTGATACAATTTTAGCTGTTCACATATCAAAAACATTCAGCTGATTTAGGAGATGGCTGCTATGGCTTATGGTTTCTGTAAACACTATGCTTTTCAAAATAATTAACTGTATTTACAAAACTCTTTCAACATGGACAAATATCTTCAGTTCCTTCAACAACAACAAAAATTCTCATTGAAATCTGTGTAAACAAACCATTGCTAGTTTGATCTTATCATGCTACTTTTAGATTTTCATTTGTTCCTTTTATCTTTTTTTTTATCAAAGTATTTTTTATTGATTTTTGATTTTAATATAAAAACAGAAAACACAAAGAACCAAAAAAACCTCCCAACCCTCCCATGCCACACTGGATCAGTCAAGCATACACAAACAAATTAAACAGGCATTGACATACTTTCATACAATACAAAAAGGCCGCCAAGTGTAACAAAATCTTTTTACAGAACCCTTCACGGTATATCTGATTTTTTTCTAAATTTATATGACACATCACTTCTCTTATCCAGCGAACATATGTTGGGGGGTGTGGGTCCTTCCAACTGCACAAAACAAGTCTTGTGGCCAGAAGAGAGTCAAAAGCGATCACAGCCTTCTCGTACTTGCTAAAGGACGTCTCCACAGGGACCACCCCGAACTGTGAGATGAGTGGTGATGGGTGTATAGTTTTGCCACATATCACAGAGAAGTTGTCACAAATAGATTGCCAAAAAGTCTGCAGTTTGGGACAGGTCCAGAATGTATACAGGAGTGAAGCTGGAATTTGTTCACAATGGTTACATGCGGGGTCCAGGTCAGCTTTGATCTTGGACAGCTTGTTCTTGGACCAGTGCAGCCGATGCAAAACCTCAAATTGAATTACAGCATGTCTCAGACAGATCGTTGATGAGTAAATGTTCTTAATGATCTTTCGCCAGATTGAGTCTGGTATGGATTCCTCCAAGTCCATTTCCCATTTCAGTTTAAGGAAGTCCAAACTGGACTCATGGTATGAACTGAGCAGTGTATCGATCTTGCTGAGGGCCCCCTTAGTATCAAAACCTGCATTCCAAAATCTTAACCACAAAGTGTTTAGAGGGCTACGTACAAAGGAAAGCAGTCCAAGTTAGACCTCACAAAATGTCTCAACTACAAATATCTGAAAAGCTGTGGCTTGTGGATATAAAATTTCTGTACCAGCTGCTCAAAAGAGGCAAATCTACCATCAATGTAGAGATTACACAGTGAATGCACTCAAGCTGTATCAGCTACTGAGGGAGTAAACATATGATTATTTGACACAGGTGCCAGAAACAGTAACTCTCTAGAGTTAAATGCTCTCCTGAACTGATTCCAAGTCTTTACCATCCAGATCACAATTGGTTTAGAAGTGTAGGTTTGTATACCGGTAGTTCGATTTATCTTTTAACTAGCATTTGGCTACTTAGGCTAATATTTTGCTCTTTTATTAAGCATTTTGTTATTTTTATCTTCTGACAAACATTTTGCTGCTTTTCGCTAGCATTTTACTACTTTTAGTTTTTAGCTTATTTGCATCTTTAAGCTTTTAGCTATAAATTTGCAAGGTTTTGCTTTAAAAGAGTGTTTAATTTTTTTGTTTGTTTGTTTGTTTGTTTGTTTTTAGCGAGCATTTAGTAACTTATAGATTCTAACTAAGTTTGCTATTTTTAGCTTTCAGCAAAACTTTTGGCAGTTTTGGCTTTTGGTAAATATTTACTGGTTTTAGTTACAAATTTCTTCCTTTTTAGCAGCTAATATTCTGCTTCTGATCATTTTAACAAGTCAGCTTCAGCTTCTTCGTAGTTCACTCAGTGTTTTCACAGAAAATGAAATGTCACGAGATTCAAACTGATTCGGTGTCACCTTTGACATACAGTGAAGTTTATTTTCATGTCATTGTAACACAATTTATATTGCAGCTGTTGTTTTTCATCATTTAGGCACAGCTGTGGTCACGCAGACCAAGGCCGTTCTGTGGACGGACAGTCGCTACTGGCTTCAAGCTGAGAGACAGATGGACTGCAACTGGGAGCTGGAAATGGATGGTAGGAGGGGTCGAGTTATGACTATTTGTTATGGCAACGCTGCACAAAAGCATTCCTGTAAATGCTTGTGGGCTGTTTTATCCCCCTGAAGCATGCACATGTTATTCCAGAGGTTTTATAGTAAAACTGGCTCAGAAAGACAGCAGCAGTAACATTGTGCATTCTGAGTTGAATTCTGAGGAACTGATTATTCAATATCTTTATTTCCATTTATAAAAGAAAGGTGTATGCCTTTAATAAACATACTGTAGCATAGACCCAAAAAATTAAATCTTGGAAATAACACAGACCTGTGTTGCCAAGCTTTAGTCTTGTGTAGTTGTTTGTGCCAAAAATGACTAAATAAAACAACATTGTGGCATCTGGTGAAACATTCCCTCCACACCCACATTCAAACATCTACCAAATCCTTAAAAACACTCACAAGAGGACCAAATGTGGAAAAGCCCCAGCACATGCACTAATTATCACCTTTCAAGGAACAGTTTAGAAAAACTACACTTAAAAGTTGATTTGGAAAAACTGCAAAGATACAAACAGGCAAAAAGGTCAGGGACAGACTTGTTTTATGGGATACATACTAAGCTATTGGGGGCTGTGTTCCACTTAGAAGTAATACTTTTGCACATTCTCTACAAATAACAGCATGAAAAGGAGAAGAAATGGAATGCAGCCTATCATGAACACATGCTTGTAGTAAAATACCTCTAACATACAGTTATGAGCTTGTTGTTATTTTGACCATGATCTCTAAGGAGGAAAATAAACTATAAAAAGAGACACTTTACTGTATTGTACTGAGCTCATTTCAGGGTTTATTGACAGCTTTATTATAAATAAATATCCAAAAAGCATTTATTTTCCAATGAAGCGCTAATTCTTAAAATTTGCCAAGGTAATCAGAGAAAACAACCTCAGATTTATTTTATTAATTAATTTATCTATTTATTAATTAACTAATTTATTTATTTATTTATTGCTGGTTTCAGCACATTTTAAAATGTTGATATTATGTCTCAGGGATAACAAAAATGCTAGTTCTGAAACAAACCATCACTTTATAGGAACTCTAATGTGTTGAATAGTTAATTTAATTGTAACACCATGCTGTGTGATGCTGTGATGCATAATTTGGTCCAGTAAATGTGATTTGTTTTATCAACACACATTACAGAAAAAAAAAAAAACGAGTTTCTAATTTTATATTCATGCATACAAATGGTCTCATTACAAGTGAGGGAAAACCTCCTGTTTGCAGCACACAAACATTTAATTACATTCAAAATACATCACCTTACCAGAAATATGTAATAATTAAACAATTTAAGGGTTTATAAATCATTATATACCATTGAAAAATACACTGGGATAAAAAAAAAAAAATGTTCTCACATCTCCAGAAAATAACATTTAAACCATAAATGAAGGAAGAACTTGTTGTATAGTTTGTTATAATGTGCTGTATACAGTACTATCTGTATTAATATTTATTAATCTATCACACTGATGTGCTATTGCATCTTTAAATCCAGTTCATTTGATATCATTAAAGTGTACTGCACTGTGTGTTTTTTATAGTTTTATTTCTAACGTAGTCTTTTATGAAGGACAACTTTGACATGCTGTGCTAATATTTTAAATATTTCTTATGCAAGAATCTCCAAATGGCACTTTTCTCTGAATTTAAAACCTGTCCAATGTGCTGTTCTAGCTTCCAGCAGCAGTGTGGCAGAGTGGCTAATTTCTGAGGTGCCACCAGGCAGGATCATCGGCTTCGACCCTTTCCTCTTCTCCATCGGTGAGTCTCACCCCACTGCCTCACCTCACAGACCGGTGGTTTAAGTGCTCACATCAGTAGATGGAAACATATTCATGGAGCCGCAGGATGGAGCGCAGACTGTTTACTTGTGTTTGATTTTGTTCAGTGGGTGTAATCAGCTGCAGTTTGCTCCATTAGACATGCAGGAGGACTACGCCGTCATTCTGGATTTGAGCGAGCACAGATTCATGCCCATTCCTGTCAACCTGGTCGATCAGGTGTGGAGGGACAGACCCCCGGTCCCACCTGACAGCCTCAACCGCCTGCCTGATAGAGTCATACGTGGGTCTTCTTACATTTCTGTTGACGTGTTTGTATTTTGCACACACACAGACAAACACACACACTGCAGCCTGCAAGTCTACCCTATGGTGCATTTTATCTGTGTGCTGATAAATACCTACAAACTGGACGCAGAGTAATAAGCAGCTCAGCAAACACAGCCATAAAGAGACTGTGTGTTATATTTTGTTGTTCTTACGCCTGGATGACAGATTAAACAGTGACTCAGAAGAACTGGATAAGCCTACGCAGGAGAAAGTTATCTCTCTGTGGGTCTTATTAGTCTTTACGACTGGAGATTAGAAAAATGGAACAAATAGAAAGCACCATTAAAGCTAATGGTCTGCGTGTGCATTTGACTGTAAACTGTAAAAATCAAACCACACAGGGCTTTTAAGTGAGTCCTTTATAAATGCTGTCTTATGCTTTGGATATAAAAGCTTGTTTTTACACTTGGCTGACTGTCTGGAGTCCATTAGGTGAATGAAAAGTTTGTAGATGGCTTGAATGTCAAAGAAAAGGAAGAGTAACTGGAAAACCACTTAGCAGGAAGCATCACATTTACAGAAGGTTCAAGATTTAACGCTGCAGTTGTTGACCTAAAAATAAACAGTTAAAGTTTTCAAACTCACACATGTACACACACATGTTTCTAAACTTTATAAAGTGATAATAAACTGTTGTGTATTTAAATATTGCACGTTTAGTGGGAATTAAGATAAGGTTGCATGTTGGAGCTTCATTTATCATGTATTTTGTGTTGAATGCAGTAAAAATAAACTCATATTTGTTTGCAGAAAGGTCGTGGCAGATTAAGGTGGAGGAAATACGGGTAATGATGAGGGACAATCCATATAAGCCCACAGCTCTGCTGCTTTCAGCTCTGGATGAGACGGCTTGTGAGTAAAAATCCAACATGATGTCGTTCAAGTAAATATTTTATTATTGACTTGGGAAAGATGAACTAAATTGTATGAAAATGTTGTAAAATAAAAATCAGTTTTACAAAGAAGGAGCATATATCTGCTAAAATGACTTGTAATTTAATTGTTTTGTTCCATAAATTTAAATTTTTTGTTTGTTACGCTCTTTAGCTGTGTGTTCATGGTTTATAAACTGTAAATGACTCTTTATTCAAGTCCTCACTCCTCTCTGCCACTAATGTTACCCATGATAGAAAGTAGTGCATGTATTGGAGTATGTGTTGGGGATGACTCTCAGCTACTACCTCACCAAACTGCAGCTTAATATTTGTAAAACAGACTAAATTATACCAACAGGCCATATAAAGGAGAATGAGTAAACAGGGTTTGCTTGTTTCTGAAACTAAATATGTTTGGGATTTTCTCTGTAGATATTTTAAATACAAAAAAACAATTATAGAATGATGAAAACAAGCAACAGAATAAATAGAAACATTAAAAAGGACAAAACGGTTCCTGCAAATTTCATCTGTTCAGCTTGCTTTAACATTCAAATTGTTCAAAATAACATATTCTTGTTTTACAGAAAACTCAGTATCATGCTAGAAAACTACAAATGATGAAAAAAAGATGAATTCAGAATCATATGGGGTTCAATTAATAATCGTAACGTGAGAAAAGCTTTTAGCACTTTTGGCAACTCGGCATCCAGAAATAAAATGTAAATTTGTGATGAAAACTAAACTAAATTTGCCATTACTGGATAATGAGAGTCCTGTGAGATGCATGTTCACCAAAACTGAAAGGTTGCGTGTTTTGTTACAGTTTTAAAACTGTTCTTATTCTGGAAAAATGGCTTTCATAAGAGAAGCATGAAACTCTGGATTTAACTCGTCACTTGCCTGAGCAGACTGCCTATGATAACTGTTATCTTTGAATATTTATCTACCTGTGGTAGCATTAAATAAAACTCGTCTCCAGGTAAGTGTTTGTCTTTTCAAATTTAAAACTTATACTCCATGACATAGTTACAGTAAAACTGATCTAGATCCAATTAAAATTGAAAAGCTGCAGCGTTTTAAAATCATCCCCCACTGACAGTGAATGTCCGAGTTAGTAAATTTGTTTTAAAGGATGAACACAAATATGAAGGCGTGAACAGCTGAGGTACACGATGGATGAAAACAGCTTCATGATCCAAGTGATGGATGGAAACAGTGAACGTGAAACCTGCTGCTGATGATGACCAGAAGTCCTGTTTGTGTTTCAGGGCTCTTTAATCTGCGAGGCAACGACATTCCCTACAACCCCTTCTTCTACTCCTACACGCTTCTCACAATGAACGAGATCTGGTAATTCACTCATTCATCTTTTTTACACTCAATTAAACACAAAAAATATTTGTTTTATAAATACTCTTGATCAAATTCCCCACACAGACCTAATGACGTGCATATGTTTCATTTCTTGCACCCCCCCACTTCAGGCTTTTTGTCCACACCCACCGGGTGTCCGAGGATTTAAAGGTGTACCTGAACGCATCTTGCACAGGGCCCCTTTGTGTGCAGCTGAAAAGTTACGACTCTGTCCGTGAACATCTGGAAACCTACGTGGACCAGCCGGGGGTCAAAGTGTGGATCGGTACCGAGTGCACAAACTACGCTCTCTTTGAGATCATAACATCACAGGTATGCAGGTGACACGGTCAGAAGATGGCGTCAGTTTTCATCCTATTCATTCATATACTTGAACTAACAAAGGGTCTTGTAGAATGTATATTTTTTGTGTTGCTAATCATTTTTAATCTCATGTAGGAGAAAGTGATGACGAGCTCGTACTCTCCAGTCCTGATGACCAAAGCCGTAAAAGACGTGACTGAGCAGAAGATCCTGAAGGACGCGCACGTACGTCTCAAACACGCACAAGCAGATGTTTAGACACAAAAGTACATGTTCTGCTTCTTTGATTTCAAAGGAAAATACAATTCAGAGTAAACTATGCATCCATCTGCACGAACATGAGTGAACACATGATTTTTCACCTGACATGATCATTTATAATCTGGATCGTTCGGACTGAAACGGCTGCTCTTGCACTGTGGCTCCTTACAGGTGAGGGATGCGGTGGCTGTTATCCAGCTGTTGATGTGGCTGGAAAAAGTTGTTTCAGATGGGACTGAGACTGAGCTGAGTGCTGCAGAATATGTTAATAAATGTCGCAGGTGAGTAAAAACATAAATGCATGAACCTGGGGAAGACTGACATCAAGTATTGTGTTTTTTTATTCTGATAAAATCATTTAAGCACTTAAAGTTTACAATTGAAAATCAACTCATTTAAATGTTGCAGCAAACAGAACGACAACCGAGGCCCAAGTTTTGAAACAATTTCTGCAAGTGGACCAAACGCTGCTCTTGCCCATTACAGGTGAGATGTTGTCATGTTCTTCATCCTCTTTCTGAACTAACGTGTTGCTTTCCTAACACTTGTAAAGTCACAGTTTGGATTCGCGATGTGACGTTTACAAATGATATCAGTCTTTGAACGCCTCTTTATAACAGGTGATAGGAACAGAGTCACAGACAGTTTAGAGACACTTTTGATTGTCCTCATAATGTTTTCCTCTTCAGATGCTTCTGCATTGCTACTGGTGAACATTCAGTCAGAAGAGGGGGGGCTGCACACCTGACAAGTCATATAGTACAACTGTACGACATACGTCACATCATATAAGATTGTATGAAGTGACATAGCGTGTACAGTGTGACTAAACGTTCAAAATTAACTGGCTCTTTGAAAGGAATGAATCCACAAGATCCAGCTCCCTTCAAAGAACTGTAAAGCCCATCTGTAGTTTGGATGAATAAGGATCAGGTAGCAAAAAGGTTGTCAGATCGAATCCCAGCCAGACTTTCAGGGTGGAGTTTGCATGTTCTCTCCGTGCATGTGTTTGTTTTCTGTACTCCAGTTTCCTCCCACAGACCAGCAACGTTAGGCTGACTGGTAACTCTAAATTGTCCCTAGGTGTGAGTGAGAGAGTGAATGGTTGTTTGTCTCGTTTGTCTCCATTTGTCCCTGTGATGGACTTGGACTTATCCAGGGTGTCCTCTGTCTCTCATACAGTGATAGCTGGACATGGACACCAGCTCCCTATGACAACAGGACAATATGTGTAAAAAAAAAAAAAAGATGGATGGATGGATGGATGGATCTTAAACATTAAATATCTATCATTCCTTGAAGGAATGCATATCACACACTGTCTTCCACACCAAAGTTTACCCAAAGATGTTGTATTATCTCTTGGCCCTTTTAGTGCGTTTTAAGGATGACTCTTAGCTACTACCACACCAAATCCCAGCTCTGTATCTGTAAAAGTTAGTTATTTTTGTGTTTGCTCAGGTTCATTAGTTGTGGCAGCCATCTTGAACTGGGTTGACCCCAAAAGTTAATAAGTTGCAGATGAACATCCAGTGATTACTTTCAGCACGTTTTAATAAAATCCTTTCTCTGGTCCATGAAATATTTTGCTAACAGACACACACACAGGCAATTACACAACCATTAACATTTCATTACGTTATAAGAAAATAAAAACTCAGCATTAAAAATCTTTAATAAAAAGCAAAAGTTAAAGAATCATCAACATGGCTGAAATCCCCTCCCATGAAAAGTTCTTGTGGTGTTTCTTTAAATGTTTGGAGGAGATGGTCCCACTGGACACTCAGGATGTTCTGTACCGGGAGTGGAACCAGCATACTGAAAAGTTTGTTCTTACAGTTCGTTCTTACTTAATTTAACAGCTGTAGCAGGTAGATTTACTGCAACAACAGAAAATGAGTTTATGTGACAAAAAATGGGCTGACAGGATTTTAAATGAGCTGACATTCTTAGATAAGGTTTTCACATCTATCCTGTGAGTTTGTGAAAACTGCTCTGACATATGCAGCACATCAGCATTAGTCACCTGAAATGTGTGTCTATTTGTAGCTAGCAAATATCTCTTTGTTCCAAAAAACACTTGAAGGGTTCAAAATGTCCATACTAAGAATCAATCTCTCATGAATATATTTCAGAAGCCAGATGTTCTGAAACATCAGCTCCAGGGGTGAAGCACACTTGGCTAATCCTATAACATTTACATATTGATAAACTACTAGATTTAGTTCATTTTAATTTATTTAGTTTGTGCATGTACATATTACAAACTGTTGGTGATAACAGCTTTATATAATTGTAGCTGTAAAATGCTGTTTCCCAGGTGAGAGAGTTTACAACAATGCAGCTTTGTTCAGCAGATCATCTGAAAAACATTACTTTCACAGCAGTAAAACTGCAACAGCTGCTTGGAAAGAAAGAAAACTCAAGAGGATTTTTTTTTTTCATTTTCAAATTCTAATTCTGCTAACTCCTGAGTATTTTTTTGCGATTTACAATAGAAGACATTCAGGAAGGTACATTTTTTAAGTGGACTCAGAGATTTAATTTATGGAGCCATGGCCAACATTTTATTGGTTGTTGTCCCATGTCGTGGAGGGAAAGGGGGAATTGGAAATACCCTCCGTCCCTCTGTCTGAGCTGGATAACTTGAAGAATAAGATATGTGCCGACTTTCATTTTGGTGTGTGGCTGCATCTACATGTAAGAAAGCTCACTCTTGAAAATTGGATTACCAAGTAAAAATTCAAGATGGCCACCACCGCCACATACAGTATTTTCCACACTATACGTCGCTCCGGAGTAAAGGTCGCATCAGTCAAAAAATGCCTCATGAAGAGGAAAAAAAAAACATATATAAGTTGCTTTGGAGTAGAAATTGCATTCATTATGTGGTTTATTTATTTATTTATTAAGTGGCTTTAAACATCTGTTAAGTTCCTGGCAAAAACCAATGCAACCATGTTCCTGTTTTTAGTTTCTACACCACTTTACAATCTACCTGTTTTTTCACTACTTTTCCTTTTGATTGTCCTTTAGGTTGCCATTTTATTTTAACTTTGTAAAAAATATAATAATTTGTATGCATCTTTTATGATTGTCTGTTGTTGTTGTTGTTGTTGTCCACTGTTGTCGTCACTCTTTGTTAAAAATGCAGGTCTCTCTTGTAAATGAGTCTCTGGGGCTCAATGGGATTAACCTGTATAAATAAAGGTTGAATGAATGAAAAAAAAATTATACGTCACTGCTGACCCACAGGAAATGGGCCGGTGTTGTGCTGAAAATCGATTGGCTGTCAAAAATAGATTGGTGGCCGTGAGAGCATGCATGGGAGGACTTGCTGTTGCAGTTCTTCAAAATTTAACAAGATTA